GAGCCACAGAGAAGTTTGAATTTTGAAGAGGATCCAGATTTACCCCTGAAAGAATTTTCTACCAAGGTCTTTGACATGGAAACCAAGAAAGAAATACGGAAAATAAGAGAAACCTGCAGTTGCCTATTCCAATGAGTGCTTTGTTTGTTTCTCGTGACCAATGAGTAAAGTGTAAACTTAGAAATTTTGTGAGAATGTATAAAAAGTACATTTGGAGCCTTCTGAAAGTGGAGTTGTGTTTGCTTTGTACCATCTCTGTCTCCACTACAACAAACCCCGTGGGCTGGAGAGAGAAAAACAAGCAGGGTGGGACTGCAGGGGCGGAAGCTGGGATGGGACAATGAACTGCAAGGTGCAAATGGAGCAGAACTGATCCCAGGGACAGAGCCCGGGAGCGCTCGTGCATTTTGGGGCCATTTTGGTTCATCTTGGGTGCAGCCCTGGCTGGGCTCTGGTGCTGCCCAAGGTGGATCCATGGAGGAGATGCTGGGAATGAATCCCTGCTTTATTCTGGGACTCTGCCCAGCCCCTGCTCCAGGGCAGCCTGAACAAGGCATCACATGGACCCCATAAGTTCTTTTCCAACCCTGACGATCCCATAAAATCCAGCAGCAGGTTGAACACTAAAAGCACAGAACTCCTGGCTCTCCTTTCACTCCCTTTATACTCAGGATTAGCTCCATGGATTAACAGAGGTGTAAAAAAGCAGGGAAACCTCCCAGATTCCAGCCTAAAATCTGCTGGCATTTAAATATCTCTTCCTCCAGGGTGGACCAGCACAGCTGAGTTTAAAACAATATTCAACTTTCACCTTGCAAATTCCAGCACAAACACCAACTTCCAGAGGTTGCCTGTGCACAGCAGACACAATTCCTACAAAATCCCTGTCCCCAAGGAATATTTCCTTCAGGAACAGCCCTGGGCTACAATTACAGGCTCAGAGATGAGGGATGGGGGAGCTGCTCATGGCAGAAATTAAATCCACCCTCACCAGAGGCTGGGGAAGCCCCTGGATGCTGCACACATTGCCCAGGGGGTGGGAAAAGTTACAGTTTTATTCCTTTTCCATTAAAAATCTCCAATATTTTAGCTCCTGGAAGCTTTACCAGCCATTCCTCTTGCCAGTTTATCTCACTGGCAGGGGAACAGGACCAATAGATGAGAGCCCAGAAAGGCTGAGTGAGGCCCCAGAGCAAAACAAAAAGGGCAAGAAAAAGCACAAGATTATTTTTATTTTTTTTTTCCCCAGCTGAAAGCATGGAAAAAGTGGAATTTGAAATCAAGCAGCATCACCTCCCTCAAGGTACTTGACTCCAAATGTTTCCTGCCCTATTTCTGAAAGCTTGATGGTATTTTCTATTATTAATGAGGGAAATGGGAATTGATTTTTTTTTGCCGTTGGAGCAGGGAAGGAAAGGTGGGTTTGGTTGGAATGCAGGGCCTTGTACACAAAAAATGTTCCTCAGGCTGTGGAGAATCCACCGGGATAAACATTTTGGGATTAAACCTTCCCAAAAGCAATGTGTAATTTCTCATTCACTGGATGAGAACCTTCTTCCTGTAAAACACACAAAAAAATTGGGTACTCGGAAGGTGAAATGCTCAGCTCACCCATTCCCTGCCACCCTTTTAATTTGCAGAATAAATCCTTAATTCCTGAAATAAATAAACTGCTGGAATATTGTCCAAGATGGGATTGCTGGGACAGCTCCCTTTGTATAAACCCTGCATCCTTCCAGAGGATGGGAGAGCACAAGGTCAGACAAGAAATCAATAATCTTGTGAATGCATTGCTGGGTAACAGCAGCACTCAGGAGAGGAGGGGGATATTTAAACAAAAGGATCCATCCAGGCTTTTGTAAAAAAAAAAAAAAAAAAAAAATAGGCTTTGGATTGGGTTGTTTTTTAAAATGTGAAATAAACAATTCAAACTAAGGCTGGTTTGCTGCCAGAAATTGTCTGCCAGTGTTCCAGATTAAATTACATTTTTAAAGTTTGATTTTCAATAAAAATTCTTTCATTTGTGTGCATCCATATTCTGCCTCCTGTACCATCCTACAGCTGATGTCACAACCTGCCCTGAACAGCAATTCCCCACGTTTCTAATCAGAAAATTGGCTGATCTCAACAAAAAATTTCATTTAGAAGCCACAGGAGCAGACAAATGGTGATTCTTCTAAGCAGATGCCACTCCCTGTCATTGTACTAAAGGACTAATTAGTCTAATGTGAAATTCAATTATAAAAAATCCCCAAACCCAAGGTCCAATTACCTTAAAGCACAATGATTCTCATGCCTGAGGAGCAGAGTTATTAAAAAAAACCACCCCAAATATAATGACATTTTTCCTTTTTTTTATTACTGTCATTAACAATATTAACATTAGTGATGCCTCCTTTGTGCTCCACCCTGAAATCACCAATTTTTGGCATTTTCACTGGTTTCTCCCACAAGTGGTTTGCCTGGTTTTTGCTTATTCACCTTCCATTATTATTATGAACTGTGAGTTATAATGTGAGTTTAGATGCAGTGGCCAGGCACAATTAATAAAAATTATGATTTAGGGCAAGAATCCAACACAGACCCATCCAGCTCCCAATTTTTGGCACCTACCATTCCTCCACCTGTTCAGCTCCAGCTCCAGGTGCTGGATGACGTTCTTCAAACTCTTGTTTTTGTCCTTCTCCTTCTCGTACTTCTTCTTCCACTCCTCTGCTGTCAGCTCCAGGTTCACAGACACCGTGTTCTTGATGGTCTTGGCCCTGCACACAAACCCCAGGGCAGCTGATTTGGGGTTCCCATCCCAGTGCAAACGGGGGGATTGGGGGTTTTGCCATCATACNCCCACCTTGGAATCCAACATTTCCACCTTGGAATCCAACATTCCCTCATGGAATCCAACATTCCCACCTGGAATCCAACATTTCCACCTGGAATCCACACTCCCCCATGGAATCCAACATCCCCACCTAGAATCCAACATTCCCTCATGGAATACAACATTCCCCAATGGAATCCAACATTCCTTACTGGAATCCAACATTTCCCCATGGAAACCAACATTTCCACCTGGAATGCAACATTCTCATCCGGAATCCAACACTCCCCCCTGGGATCCAACATTCCCGCATGGAATCCAACGTTTCCCATCTGGAATCCAACATTCCCACCTGGGATCCAACATTCCCCCATGGAATCCAACATTTTCCCCTGGGATCCAACATTCCCCAATGGAATCCAACTTTCCCCCACCTTGGAATCCAACATTCCTACCCTGGAATTCAACATCCCCACCTTGGAATCCAACATTCCCCCATGGAATCCAACATTCCCCCATGGAATCCAACATTCCCACCTGGGATCCAACATTCCCCAATGGAATCCAACATTTCCCCATGGAAACCAGCATTTCCACCTGGAATGCAACATTCTCATCCAGAATCCAACACTCCCCACCTTGGAATCCAACATTCCCTCATGGAATACAACATTCCCTCATGGAATCCAACATTCCCCCATGGAATCCAACATTCCCCCATGGAATCCAACATTCCCCCATGGAATCCAATGTTTCCCCCAGGAATCCAACATTCCCAACTGGAATCCAGCATTCCCACCTTATCATCCAGCTGCCTGTAGAGACTGGCGATCTCCTCGTCGTATTTCTGCTTCTCCTCCGTGGAGATGCTGGCGACCACGGGGGTGATGTTATCAATGATGGGCGTGTTATCACAAGGNATTTCAGGGGAGGCTCCTGCCTTCCTTAGCAGGCACCTGCCTTTCCAAACTGAACAGGAGGTGAGTCCATGCTGGCAGTGATCACAATTTGTTGTGATTGTGCCCAGACTTGGGAGCTGCTCCAGTGCCATCACTGAGAATTAATTCCTCATCTTGGGCAGAGCAGCCAAACTGCCACTGGTTTGTGACAACATTTTTGTTAATATTTTATTAACAGCCAGTATTTTCTCCCTTCAGAGCTGAAATGCTAGCTCCTTGTACTCCATTCCTTTTTTTTCTCTGAGGATGGCAGAGAAGCAGGTAAATAAATAAAACCCCCTCCTCACCCCCAGCCAGGATTACTTACAGTTCCCTCTGCCAGGGCCGAGATCACATTGCCCAGAGCAGACAAAGACTTATTGATATTTTTAGCTTCATCCAGAACTGCCCCCTCTGCTCCAGTTTTGCTGACCTGCAAAGAGAGCAGCAAAGAGTCGGGTTCTGCCCCAGCACAAAGCTCCAGCCCTGCAAAGTGCACCTAAAGATGCTCCTGGAGGAGCAAAACCCGGCTCAGCTCAGCGTGGGCCAGGAGAATTTCACATTAACTTTTTACATCCCATTTTTATATCAACTTTTATAACTTTTTTGGTAGTGCAAGACTGGAATAATTCCACTTTTCTCCCAAGAGCAAGCTGTAATTTTATTTTAACCCAGGGAGAATTTTATTCAGGGAGAAGTCTGTGCTCACCTGAGGACATTTGGGAACCAATCCCAAAACCAAGCTGTGCACACAGACAGGGAGCACCATCCCAGTGGCCCCAAAAAGAGCATCTTGCCTTTTTATGGACAAAAAAAAATCAAAAATCATAGCTTCTTTTCATGGCCACTCTCTCCTTTCTCAGGCCAAAAACAAGATGTGATGGAAAAAACCCCATTTTCACAGCAAGACAAATGTATTGTGTTCTACACTGCTAAATTTTATTTTACACAGTCCTAACTTGCTAATGTCTTTCCTTTCTGCTACTACACAAATAAAACAAAATTTGGACTTTCTAATGTATCCAAATACAGGATAGATCCACATTTTTTTCTCTACATTAAAACTCTACTTTCACCTAAAAATGTCCCATGACATGAAGGAAAAGCAGTTGTGTCTTTTAAGAAGACAACCTACCTAAGAAATTCATATTTCAGGTTCTCTGTACCAAAACAAACCACAAAAGTTGATTTTCCAGAGGAGGGGAGTGCCTGCCCAGGCCCTCGTTTTTTAAACATCATAAAGAGTTTTTAATTTAACAAATCTATGCAATCATGGACATTGACATGATTAATTACTCTGACAAATCACTTCTACATTTTACCCATGGGTTATTGATTAACATGTCCTAATGAGCAACCCAAAATCCCAATAAAGCTGATTTCAAACACTCCAGAAGACCCCAGAATGAGAACTGGGAAACTTTTTTGCATTGCAGCACTGTTCCAAACCATTCCTCTTCTGGTAAATAGATAAAAGTCATTTTCTGGGGTTTATTTTTCTACATGGAAAAGCAGAAGAAGTCACCACAATCAAGATTCAGCGAGCTTTGAGTAGACTTGAAAACTGCATTAACTGCTGGTATTTCATTCATTTAATTTATGGAACAAATACAAAAAAACCTGGAAACATGACATGACAATATAAGCAAGTTAAAATATCTCTAATTTGATAAATTAGATTTAAATTTTATACATATATTTAAATATAAATATTTTCTATAAATATATAAATATATTTAACTTATATTAAAATTCTTTCTATATTAAAAGAGGGACATTTAAAATAATAATAATAATAATTATTATTATTATTATTGTTATTATTATTATTATTATTATTACTACTACAATAATATTTTAAATTATTATTAAATTATATTTAAAATACATTATTTTTTTCAGCTACACAGATGTAAATGTGAAGGCATATAAAAACACACTGGTTCAACTCACTCCATTATAAACTCAGATTTTGGGAGAGTTGTCTTTCATGCCAATAATTGTGACCTGTTCCTTTTCTCCATCCCATATTCAAAAATAAAAATTAAAATAGCTTTTTTAATGGTAATCTAAGCTGAGAGCTCTGTGAGACACCCTCCCATCCTCAGTGTGGGGTCCCAGTGGAGGAAAAAAAGGAGAATTTACCTTCTCACTGCCAGCCAAGTCCACCAGGTAGAGCTTCCCACTGAGCTTCTTCTCCGTTTCCACGTTCTCCTGCTTGATGTTGATGAGGAAGATGCTGTGGCTCCTCGAGCTGTGCTCGTTCATGTCTGAAATCACAGGGCACAGCTTCTGCTGAAAACGCCTTTCAAACCTTTCAAATTCCATCCCACCTGAATTCCCAGATCCCAGAGGAGCTGGGCAGGTCCTGGTGTAACTCACAGGATTCACAGAATCATCAGGTTGGGAGATGTGGGAGAAATCTGAGGCCTTTGCTGGGGTCGAGCCATTTGTCCGTGAGGGGAGACTCAGACACTCCATAAGAGTGATGAGCAAATTCCGTTTATTGAAGAGAGCATCAGACACTTATACAGCAAATAATAAGCTTATGAATATTCTGTAAGCCAAGCAATCTATTGGTTAAACTATGCCATGAACTCTTCTTCATTCCTTAGGGGTTCCATCTCTCTTTTCTCATGTCTCTTTCACTGTTTGTTATCCTACCACAGCTAGGCCCAACGGCACTGCTATCTGTGCAAGTGCAGGACTTGGAATTAGCCACGGTTTTGTACTTTTCCAGTCCTTAGCAGCTAAATTCCCAACAGGGAGAGACCTTCATGGTCATGGATTCCAACCCAGCCCCAACACCTCAGCTCAACCCTGGCCCCCAGTGCCACATCCAGGCCTTGTTAAACACACCCAGGGACGGCGACTCCACCAGGCAGAACTTTAGAACTTTATCCACTCCAGAACTTTGTCACTTTTTCCTGATATCCAACCTAAACTTCCCTTGGCACAGCTCGAGGCTGTGTGCTCTGGTTTGTTGGTTTTGCCATCCCTGGAACCCAACCCAAGCTGGGATAAAACCGGCAGGGTTTGAAAAGTGCCCTGCACTCTCTGGCTGCCCCCTGAGCAGGGAATTACAGTCCAGAGGAAAATGTAATTCCAGCATTTTTGCTGTTTCTAATTCCAAACTATCCCCACTCCCAGCACCAATCCCTGCTGGGACGGTTTATGGAAAAAATTCCAGTTAATGCCAGGCCTGGAATTCCCAGTGCAGAGCTGAAAGGCACAGAGCTCCTGTACGAAGGCACACTCAATTAACTCAATTAACTGGCAGTGCTATCATTTATTTATTATTTATTTCAGCAATTAAATCATCCACAAAGCCACTCCCAGGCCTTGGTGGGCAGGATGTGTTTGAACCCTCGATGCCATTTTTAGACTTTCTGTGTTTTTAAGCACAGACCCTCAAAAAAAAAAAAAAATCATTATATTTGACCTGAGGCTGTAGAGAAAGATTCCAAAATTGATTAATAACATTAAAATTACGGATGTGGAGTTAGACTAGAAGTGTGTAATACCACACAGTAGAAAACTTAGAGTTTAAGGTTTCAGAATATCACAATATATATAAAACTAAGTAAAAATTTTGGAAGCAGTTGCTAATCCTTCTCTGCACCTTCTTCATAGGTTAGGGGAGTATTTTATAATTAAGCAAAAAAATCTGCACTGCCAGACACAAGTAATTAGCTATTAAGTTAAAAATAAAAATAATTTAAGCGTCATTTCTTAATTTGATAGTTTTTCCTTCAAAAACCTTGTACAGATGGATCCAAAATCATTTTTACAACTCATTGGCAAGTAATTATACAGATTTTAAAATTTTATTTATATAGTTTGATAATATACTATATTTATTTTATTTATATGCTTTATTATTACACAGTATTTTACTTATTAGTAAACTAATGAGTAAACTAATTAGTAAAATACTGTAGAACTTACAACTTGAGTTTATTTTATTTATATAGTTCAATAATACACAATATTTTTATTTATTTATATGCTTTATTATTATACAGTATTTTACTAATAAGTAAAAGTGAGTAGAACTCACAGCTTGGGAAATTGCAATATAAAAATATATATGGTATATATTTTAATACAAATATATTACTATAAAATATCTATTATATAAATATGTGACTATATTTTATATATAAAGATATAAAATTATAAAAATCTATTTTGTATATAAAATATATTATATATAATATATATAAATAAAAATATATTTTAAATTATGATTTCATTTTATTTGCTGTAGAACTCACAGCTTGGGAAACTGCAACATATATAACTGCAATAGTATATCTATTAATATATCTGTATTATATCTATGGTATATCTATATATCTATAGTATATCTTTGTATATAGTATATCTTAGTATATACTATATATATATATAGTATATATATACACTATATATAGATATATTTAGTATGTATATAGTATATATATACTATATATATAGATATATTTAGTATATATGTAGTATATATATATACTATATCTATATACCTACAGTATGTCTATTAATATAAATAAATAAATATAGAATATCTATTATATAAATATGTGAATATATTTTACATATCTAAAATGTAAATATATAAATTATATAAATAAAATAAATCTATAGTATATCTATATATCTATAGTATATCTCTATATCTATAGTATATCTTTGTATATAGTATATCTTAGNAAGAAGGAAAGAAGAAGGAAAGAAGAAGGAAAGAAGAAGGAAAGAAGAAGGAAAGAAGAAGGAAAGAAGAAGGAAAGAAGAAGGAAAGAAGAAGGAAAGTTGTTCCTGCCTCCCTAGGCAAAAATACCCCAAATTTCAAGCCTCTTTACAACCACCACCACTTTATTATTCTGAAAGTGCTCAGCTCCAACCCAACCCAACCAACTGTGCCAGGAAATGCAAAGCAAGCAGAAACCAATGCCCAGCACCTACTCCAGCAAATCCACACTGAAAAGGGAAACCAAACCCATCACTACGAATTAAGAAAGCCTCAGATCTTTGCCCTTCACTGCTCAGACACTGAGTCCCTTCAAATGCCCCCAGTGCTGTTGGATAAAGCAGATAAGGAAAAGGATAACAGATAAACCCTCAGCAGTTTATGCAGCTCCAGAGATTTGCACTCTGTGGCAAGCAGGACTTTTATTACCTTAAAAGTATTTTTTAAATAATCTTGTGCTTTTAAAATAATTTCCTGATGGTCAGGGTTTACACTTTGCTAAAAGCACAGCTCAGGTTTCCACTCATTTAACTGGACCAGGGATAAAAAATCGCCACCACACCAGGAAGGTTCTCCTGATGATGGATGAAGCCCTTACTGACAACCACAATTTAAAAAGAGATAAAAACACGAGGAAAGATGGAGTAGAAAAAGAAAAAGCTGATTCACTACTATCAAAGGAGCACTTGTACAGTTTGATTGGTACAAGAGCTCCTCTGAAGATGGATTTCATCCCTGACATTTATTTTAATGGTGACATAACTCTTTTCTTTTCCCAGGAAAAATCAGCAATCAGCCATGAGTCATGGACCTTCCCTTTAATGCCACTGAGCTCCTCAGTGGTGTCACATCAGAAAAATGAGACACAACAACCCAAGAGCCTGGGAAAAAAAAAAACCCATTTCCAACCATTCCCACCCAAAATCCTGCCAGAGAAAGTTGTGCATGGATAATCCATGGGCTGCTCTGCATGGAGTCCTCCCAGGGAAATACAAATTATTTCCTTCCTGACAATTCAGAATTCCTGGAAATTCAGTTGCTGAACATGAGGAACTCCTCACAAATATCTCCCTGTTTTCCCAGTTCTTGCTCTGCCATCCTGGTCCTCAGTGAGGATCAGCCCCAAAATGTTCCTCCTCCCAGGAAACTGTTGAATATTCAGCCAGGATGTGCAGAGCCAGTCAGAAAACTGCCTTGCCCCAAAAAAGGGCAAATTTCACTCATTATGAAAAGAGGAATGAAGCCAAGGGGAATGTAAACCGAAATTTTGGAAGCTGGAGTTCGGAGTTGTTCGTGCTCTTGGTTTCATTCCTGCATCTCGGCATGCTTGGTTTTGCTCAACACATGATCTGACCAGTACAAGTTTGGACATTCAATAGCTAAAAACCATGTTCAGCTCACAATGGGGGGAAAAAAACCTACAAAGCAACTCTTTAACCTGATTTTGCTCATGGCCACTGCCTCTTTTTGCAGTCCAGAAGCTCCACATGGTGGAAAACAACCCAATTTTAAACAAATACAAGGCTACTGTATCCTCAAACTGTTCAGCTCTCTTTAAACACTCCTAACTTGCCAGTATTTTTCCTTTCTGCTACTGCACAAATCAAACAAAACAAGTAATTTTCCAAAGGATCCCAGCTCTCCTCAATTACCACAAAAGCAGTAATTACATAATGAGCCTGACCTATTTCTGCAAACCTTCCCAATGCATTTCATATCACTCTTGTCAATAAACACACAAGGAAGAGAAATTTCCCTCTGGATCCTTCCATAATTTTTGTTCCTGAATTGTCCAGATCCTCCAAACATCAGGTCCATGAGCTACCATGGCAAGCTCTCAAAGCTGTCGATATTACAGAGCCCACACTCTTTAATTTTCCTAATTTTCAGAGATATTTTTACAACTGTAACAATGATCCCTGAGGTGGAACTGAAGGAGAAGACAACTCCTAAAGCATCAACAGCACTGTTAGATAAAGCAAAACTGAATTTTTCCACAAAAAACTGCCCAATGCCTTTACATTTTTTAGCAGGCCAAAAATGAGATGTGGTGGAAAACAACCCATTTTCACAGCTAGACAAATCTATTGTGTTCTAAATTTTATTTTGAACAATCCTAACTTGCTGGTGTTTTTTTTTTCTTTCTGCTACTAGACAAATAAAACAAAATTTGAATTTTCTGAAGCCTCCAATAAAGCAAGACTGAATTTTTCCACAGGAAACTGCCCAGCGATTTTATCTTTCCCATAAAATTTCAAGGAATTAAGATAACATCTTAACTTTTCTGCAAGAAAATCAACCAGGAAGGAATTCAAGAATTTCTTAATGGATTGCCCAATCCTTCCCACTTTTCAACCCCACTGTGGTCCCAAGCAGAGCAGCTGCTCCAACATTAACCTCAATTTTCCTGGAGGATTTTCCTGGAATCGCTGGGAATAAAGAGCCAGCTCTTTGAAGCTCTCCAGATTTTTTTTACCAAAAAAAAAAAGCTCTGGATCCCAAGGGAGGAGGGATGCACCCAGGCTGATCCCATGGCACTCACCTCTGGCCAAACATCAGGGTGGATTTGGTCTCGGCCTCGTTGAAGACGGAGGGGGAGCAGCAGATGACGATGGTGGTCCTGCAGTTCCCTCCCAGGGAATCCTGCAGGATCCTGGTCATTTTGCTGTCTCGGTAGGGAACGTGGGTTTTCTGATCCAAACACAAGCAAAAGACGAGAACAATTGGTTTAACCAGAGAGGAGCTGCTCTGTCGCAGACATTTCTTCAGAGAAATCCTTTCTTTGGGATTTGTCCATCTTCTGGGAAGCAAAGGGCCCCAGAAGAAGAATGTAAACAAATTGTTATCGGCTGTTGTGAGATGTGGCAGGTGATCCTGTGATCGGCTCATTTTGCATGTTTCCAACTAAGGGCCAATCACAGGAGCAGCTCAGGGGAGATTCTTGAACACAAAACTTTGTTATTCATGCTTTCGATTCTATTCTTAGCTTAGCAGCCTCTGCAAGCTCTCTCTTTATTCTTTTTAGTATAGTTATAATGTACTATATATTTGATATAAATAAATCCAGCCTTCTGATCAAGGAACAAGATTCTCGTCCTTCTCTCACCACAGTGACCGTCTAAGGTCACTGCAATAGTGCTCCAGATTGCAAGGCAAGATCTGTTCTGTTTGCCATCTGTATGGCAGCTGTCTTCTGTCANCTATATTATATCTATAGTATATCTATATATCTATAGTATATCTATATATCAATAGTATATCTTTGTATATACTATATATATAGATATATATAGTATATATATAGTATATCTATATATCTACAGTATATCTATTAACATAAATAAATAAATATAGAATATCAATCATATAAATATGTGACTATATTTTACATATCTAAAATGTAAATATATAAATCATAGAAATAAAATAAATCTATAGTCTATCTATATATCTATAGTATACTATATATCTATAGTATATCTTTGTATATAGCATATCTTAGTATATACTATATATATAGATATATAGTATATATATACTATATAGAGATATATATAGTATATATATACTATATATATAGATATATAGTATATCTATATATCAACAGTATATCTATTAATATGAATAAATATATATAGAATATCTATCATATAAATATGTGACTATATTTTACATATCTAAAATGTAAATATATTAATTATAGAAATAAAATAAATTTTATATTTTATATATCTAAAATGTAAATATATAAATTATAGAAATAAAATAAATTTAAAATAGAAATTTAATTTGATTTGAAAATAAAATACATTTAAAAATAAACACACAAGTCTAGCCACACAATGCCATCTCAAACACCTGGGGACACTCACTTGTCACAGCCACGTGCCTGTTGGCCTTCCCCTCGTCGATGACGTCCAGAACTTCCTCAGGGCTGGACACAAACCTCTCTGTGCAGCCCTGGGGACAGGAGGGGCAGTCAGCAGTGCTCGTTAAGCACTAATGAGCAACAGTAATTAGGAGAAGCATCAGCAGCCCCCAGCATCCCACAGAGCCGACCCCACCTCGGGGTGACTTCCACAGAAACTTGGGAGCCAATTTCTCCCCACAGGGTTAAAGGCCCAGTGAAATCCAGAGTGAACAGCAGGAAATTTCCCACAGAAAACATGGTGTTCCGTGTCATCCCATGAAAATTTTCAATAACAACACATATTCCTAATTTGGGTTGGATTTCATGCCCAAGTTAATTTCATTTAATCAACCCCAAGTAAATCTTTCTCCCTCAAACTACAATACAACAAAGTCCTTCTCTCTCCATGCAATATCACTGAATAAATTATTTGATCAATTCCTTTTTGCTCCTCAAGCTGAGAATAAACAGAAAAATATTATATATATATATATATTATTTAGGCTCACATATGTTCGTATCAAGCATATTGCATTCGAGTGAGGGCCCAGAAAGTCATCAAACAAATTCCTAACCCAACCAATCTGTTCTGAAATATTGAGAGATTACAGCGCCCATGCAGCAAAATATTAAAGAACAAAATTCCTCAAGTTGTTCTCTTTCATATCTGACATGAAAGGGGAATCTGAATGCTTAAAATTTAACAGCATCCTAACAAAATGGCAATGTTCAAAGCCAGGAGAATGAAACAAACACGATTCAAGCCCATTAATATTTCAGGAAACTTGTTTAAACCCAGGAGCCAACACAACTTGAACATTCAAGGCTTCAAACAGGAGTTGAATTATTTCAGCAAATAACACTGGGTGCAAATGGAAATGTGCAAATAAATGCATTTGTGGGAAAGAATGAAAAGCTGGGGGTGAAATTATTCTTTTACCTTAACATAGGGGACTCTGTTTTTATCTTCATGTACAGCAAGGTTTGTCTTGGACACTGGAGAGAGACGTGGAGATCATCAGGAATATTCCAGAGGCAATAAATAAATCAATAAATCAATAAATAAAGCGTCAGCTCCAGGCCTGACAGACACATTTTGGGGATGGAAATTTGTATTTGAGATCTGAAATTCCCCACTCCTAATGAACCTCCAATATTTCCAACACACAGGAATCGTTTCCTGCTCTGTCAATCTTGTACCTGCTCATTTAAATTTAACTTTGGGGCACAAAAGCTTTTGTTTATTGCTTGGGTGAATGAAATAAACCCAGACTAAGCTGGGCTTTTGGCAAAGCAGAGGGGGCAGGAGAGAAACCTGGAATTCAGAGCAGCTCCGACCTACATTTGCAAACATTTCTACATTCACAGACATTTCTACCTTTACAGAAATTTCT